AACACAGGCAAATTACGAATCTGATCATCCAGACCGTCCTCAAGTCGCAGGATGATATTATCAAATGCAGTGGACAGCTGAGTATCCAATTGACTCACCTCCATTGCGATTCCGGGATTGTCTCCCACGATCATCTCTTCAACGTTGTTTTCCGTGGTATCCACAGAATTATGCGATATTCCGCTTCTCACTGACATATTCTGAAATTAAGCTCAATTAGTCAATCCGACTTCGTTAGGCTTGGCTCTCATGTAACGTATCTCGATTCCGAAATAACGACGTCTAGTGGTATAGTATACGGTTTCACCGAAATCGAGATTGAAGAGCTCTTCAGAAATTTACAATATTTATCGGATACGACACAAATTCAATCGATTCAATCGAATTAAATGAGACAAAGGAATGTTAAGAAGTTAAATGAATAGAGAGTAGAGTACTGTTATAATTACAAATCACTATTTATAGACAATAAGGGGGCGTGTCCGAATACTGGGGGCCGTGGCTCGAACATGGTATTCGGTACCCGCGGATATTTCTAGACAGCGTTTACGATGTCGTTGATTTGGGGCCAAACTCCTCGATACCCGGGGATATTTCACACCTGACAACGTTTACGATTTCATCGTCGGGGTCAATTTCGAGCCACCCACAATATCCGTTGTAATTACATATACATACAACAGTATATACATACAACATGGGGGGCCTCTGGAAAAAGGCGTTTCCACTACGCCGTATTAGAATTGCCGACGAGATGTAAAACCTCGCCCTCCGCGCCCTCTATATTTGGAACCATGGTCATCATACCGGTTTTTGCCAACTGGGACGAGCTTAAACATTTTGTTGCCTATTCTTTGGAGCGGTGGGCGCTCCTGTCGATTGCCGTAACCTGCACGAGCTCCGAATTTCTTGCCATGTCCGTGGCGTTCTGCGTTTCTGGCGGTACTTGGCGTCGTATGTGTCGAGCTGACATCTCTGTGGTGATACCCACCTCTGCGATGTCCACCTCTGCCGAACTCCTTTTTGTGATAGCGCTGTGACGTGGAAGGAGTAGTGGTATACGCCGTGCGCTCGTCAATCCTTTGAAATGGTGACAGTTTCAAGAAGGAAGAGTGTTGTAACATGGTAGTGTTCCAAAAGCGCTTGGCCGCGCTCTGAGTGAAGATTTTTCCTTCTTCATACTCAGCCACTGAAAATCCATTTCCTATCGCTTCTGCATGCGATCGGAGGGGCAAAAGACATCGGAGTCGGTCCTTCAAAGATGGGCGTTGTACCAACGTTTCTTCAAAAAGATCTCGTAACATGTCTACGGATTTCTTCCACTGTCGGTCATTTACTGGTCCTGCGAGTCCGATTAATTCCGTACCTTTCGCTACCAACTGCATCAGCAGAGTCCATGCTCCGCTCCATCTTGTTGTGCCAGCAAACTCTGCTGGACTGAATAGCAATATGCAGGAATACTCTTCGGTAAACCATTCCGGTTCCATTTCCTCGGGCTTTCTCATTACAACTGCTTTTTGATTTTCTGTTTCCAGACAATCCAATACTTTCTCGAACCCGGCCGGCAGGATTATGAGATTTTTCCTCAAAGTTAATAGCTTCCAAGACGAATCCGTCCAGGGGTGATCTAAGGCGTAATGTCTGGCAAATTCTGCAACGACGGCCATGTTTGTTGGATCCATTTCCGTACGGGGCGGATGTTCAGGTAGAGTTTTTCCTGCCTGTGCAACTGACACCAGCGTTGCGTGAATGCAGTGTTGCTGATAAAACGACGTCGCTAATCCGAGTCCGGTAGGCGTAATCAAATCATATGAGCGGTCCAACAGTCTTGCTGTGCGCCACGCTTCGGGTACATGGGACTGGTTTAAAACTGATAGAAGACGTGCCAATTCGTAAGGAGATGAAAATTTCAAGGCACCAAAAGGAGCATTCGGAATAATGTCGGTCAGTGTTGCGTTGGTTGAACATTCCACTTCGACTCCTTGACACAGCAGCTTGCCGGGGCAATGCCAGTCCACGTGTTGAACATTGCTTGTAGACGAATATGCGGTGCTGAAAACAAAACAATGAATACTGAAACAAGTTTTGGGGATAATTTTACTGGTTGATGCTACTTTCGTAGGCCTGCCACGTCTTCCGCAGCGAGTAGTCAAACCCTTGACTGGAGTATCACTAATCTGTGATGGGACTTTGACTAGGTGGTCAAATTGGATCTCTTTGGGTGGCTTATTTTCACCAATTAATGTCACCAAAGCAGAATTTTGTGATGCGCTAACCACGCGAAATGGTCCTTCCCAGGGAATCACAAGTTTAGGATGTCGCGATTTACCTTTTTCTGCAGGAATTTGCACGTAAACGCGATCTCCAACGTTAAATTTCCGCAGATTTTTGAGTGTTCCACTCTTTATCATAGGCTCTTTTCATTCTATCGCGGTACTCATTGGTATGTTCCGTGATATATTCACGAGCTACCTGTAAACCACTAAGGAATTCCGTTTTATAACGGTCGTAATCTACCATGTAGGGCGACAAATCCGCAGACGGTATAATGGATGATGGGTACGTAGGATCGTGGCCATAAAGCAAAAAATGAGGACTTTCCCCAGTTGCTTGGTGTGGCGCTGCATTGTACGCATACACTATCGTGGGTAGAATCCTATCCCATTCAGCAGGTACAACAGTCTTCTTTCTGAGCATTTTCACAATTGTCCCATTGGCTCTCTCCGTGATACCATTTTCCCTTGGGCAATAGCCTTTTGTGAATTTCTGCTCAATACCCATAATTGAGCATAGCGCCTCCATTATTGAATTTTCGAAACTCGCTTCCACGATCCGAAAGGAGTGTAGCTGGCCATCTACCGCAGCCGCAGATCCAGTTACTAAAAAGCACTTCAGCTACCGTTTCAGCCTTCTTGTCAGGTATAGGATATGCTCCTAAGTATTTCGTGAAATGGTCTATAATGGTGACAATGTAGCGATTGCCGCGAGTAGTCAAACCCATTTCCAATAAGTCAATTCCGACGATTTCGAATGGTTTTGCAGAAACTATCGGTTTCAGAGGTGGGACATTTCGCCTTTTGTTGTTTGCTAAAAAGCATACTTGACATTCCCTGCACCATCTAACCAGATCTCGATACATACCCGGCCAAAATGCTACCTTATTGAGCTGATGGTACATTTTTCGGGCATGAAAATGACCTCCTAGAGCACCATAATGCGCCTCTTTGAAAAGCTCTTGTCGCCTGATCTCTGGCACCACAGGAATGAACGATCCGTCTTCACTTATGAGCTTCAACTGGCCGCCATCGATCACAAAATCAAGCGTACTTAATTTTCGATTATATTTGGGGAGTCTTACTTCCTCCTCTCGCCTATTTTCCACGGCGCTAATTACAGAACTGAAGTCCGGGTCTTCCCGTAGTTCTTGCAGCCACTCGTGCTCTTGCACTGCACAAACCACTCTTTCATCTGCTACCCAGATGGATGGGTTCTCATCTCGGAGATCTACTGGACCACGTGATAAGGCGTCTGCAACGCAGTTTGCCGCTCCTTTTACGTGCTCAATGGTCAGATCATACCGCTGTATTTCTAGTGCCCAACGCAAAACTCGAGGGGAAACGTGAACCCGTTTAAACAGCGATGTCAGCGCAGCATGGTCCGTGCGCACTATTGTATGGATGCCGAATATGAAGTAATGGAACTTCTTCAGACTATAAACTAGCGCTAAAGCTTCCTGGTCTGTCACATGATAATTGCGCTCCGCAGCAGACAGGGATTTGGAAGCAAAGAAAAGGGGGTGTAAAAACCCGTCATCTCCTTCTTGAGCCAATACCGCTCCAACGCCAATCCTACTTGCATCCGTATAGATTACAAATGGGCGACTCTTATCTAGCGCTTTTTCAATATTTGGTTGTCCCAGGACAGGAGCATTTGATAAAGCTTCCTTTAACTTCTCGAACGCTTTGTTCTGTTCTTCTGACCAGATGAACTTATTTTTGGGGCTAGTTAGCTCGTACAACGGTTTAGCTATTTCAGCGTATCTCAAGATAAATTTCCGGTAATAACCAGCCATTCCTAGAAAGTCCGCAGCTGAGCGATATTGCGTGGTACTGGGTACTTTCGGATGTTACCAACCTTATCAGGATTCGTTTTTATACCATCCTTATCCACAACATGACCTAGAAATTCCAAGCTGGGTTCCATTAGGCGGCATTTTTGAGGCTTTACCTTCAAATTTGCCTTCCGGAATGCTTCAAGTGTTTGTTCCAACACTTCCAAATGGCGCTGCTCAGTTTCAGTGGCGATAAGTATATCGTCCAAATAAACTGAGACCTCTGATCCCTTGAGATTCCCAAGGACCTTATCCATTAGCCGTTGAAATGCCGCTGGTGCATTTGTAAGACCAAATGGCAAAACGTTGAAATGAAACAAGCCCGAAGTTGTTGTAAAGGCGCTTATTTCCCTCGCTTTCTCCGAGAGCGGCACTTGCCAGTAACCGCTAGCTAAATCTAGAGACGAAAACCATCTTTTTCCTTGCAAATTTTGCAAGGTTACGTCAATGGGTGGTAACGGGTAAGAATCCTTCTTTGTTACCTTATTAATCTCTCGATAATCAATACACAACCGTGTACTACCATCCTTTTTAGCTACCAGGACAATGGGTGATGCCCAGGGCGATTGACTCTCCTCAATTATCTTGCGATCCTTAAGGTCTGAAAGCATGTCATCCACTTTCTTCCGAACGCTATAAGGCACAGGCCTTGTCTTTTGACGAATTGGAGGGTGTCCCTGTACGTCAATGTCATGCTCTACCAAGCTGGTGTGCTCAAGCTCAGAATCAGTAATCGCGAAAGTTTCATCAAACTTTCCAAGAATACCGATGAGCTCTTTTGACAACTCCCCCGAACTCCGATTTTGCTGCAACATCTCTATCAAAACTTTTAACCGTTTTGATTTTGGTAGGACTGGATGTTTTTGCATGTCAAGCATTCCACCTGACATGTCTATCGATTTGGAAGGAAGAATGGACCATTCATCCGACCATTCTCCAAAAGGTTCACCCTTATTAACTACCCAAGTCTGGGAATCACGGTTTGCTACCGAAATTTCAGTACTTCCTTGTCTCAGGAGGCATACCCCAGAGGTTATTCGAGGGTCAGTAGACCAGAAAATTCTCTCTCCGGACTTCTTTGAGCCTACCAGCTCAATGGATGCCGTAGCTCCAGGTGGTATAATCATCCTCCTAGACGCTTTTGCATGTTCCAGCAAATTACGCGCTTTCCGCGATGTATCTATGCTAGGCTCAAACCGTAGCTGGATTCCCAAGGCCTCTAGAACATTGGTTCCTAAGAGAAGGGTTTTACTCTTGCCTTTCTGGACATGCATAGATACCCGGATGCTATCCGCTCCTTGTACGCTTACTTCTGCGTTAACTATTGCAAGAAATTGCATTGGGTTGCCTGAAGCGTCGAACACCTGATGTTCGCACCCATTACCTACCATTTCAACTTCGCTGTCTAAGTCAAAGCCATTTTCTTTGGCCTGCTTAAGGAGAGCAGCTGGTAATATGGAGATAACTGATCCAGTATCTATTAGTGCTTTTACCTTGATTCCAAAGATTGTAGCATCATATAGCGTTGGCTTCCCAACCGCTACAGTGCCTGAATCTACAGGTGATCTCTGAATGCGGACCATCCCACACCATTCCTCTACGAAGGTGGACAATGCTTGCCTAGGGGGACGCCCGTCCTTGCCCTTCCTAACTGCACCTTGACCCTTGGGGCCAGAGGGCTCACCTCTGGGTATTGATTTATTAGGGCATACGCCGCTATAGTGGCCGCTACCGCCACAGGTATAGCATTTCTGCGTAATACGGTCATCATGAGTGGAAGTTGTCGCTTTATCGGCAACTATCCTCTTCTTGAAAGAACTAAACTTCTTGAAAGGTTCTTCCCTTACAGGTCTTGCTGTTTGAGTCTTCTCAAGCCTCAAAGCAACCTTTTTGACAGACTCGTATATCTCTCCTTCGCGTGCTTCTAGAGCAGCTAATAAGTGATACGAATCTTTCCAATGCTCTAAGCAAGAGTACAGTTTTGAAGCCAGATGGAAATCCCATTCATTGCTTGGATGGATTTTTCTGGATATATCCTCCATGCGGCAACAAAAATCTCCTACCGATTCACTGCTCCGCTTCCTAAGTCTGTCCCATTCATCTATTATTTTTAGCCTTTCACAGGGGTTACGCCGTGCTGCCTTAAGTGCATCCACTATCCCGGCAAAGCTACCCTTTTTAACGCTTTCCGCTAGGCCCTTGTAGATGGAACGCGCCGACCCTGTTAAATGGTTGACCATTACATCACGCCTGTCTCTATCCGACCAAACGGCTACGGGGTACTTCATCTCTAGCGCTCGCAGAAAGTCGCTAAGTGAGCCTTTACCGTCATATTTGGGGACGTCTGCCACGCTTTGCGCTTTAAAAACTTCTTTAAATACGCTGAACATTCCGTTCATAGCATGTGAGATATGGCTGGCCTCCGAAAGTTCCCCCACCTCCGAGTTTTGGGAAAGGAAACTCGACTCACCGATCGTCGATCCTCTGGAAGACGGTTCCGAGTATAGACTTGATCGTTCGTTGGAGATTGACCTCCGGGGCTTCGCTATCCCAGCGTTCGATACTGGACACTCGATTTGCCGGTTCTGAACATTGGATTTTTTACCACCATTCAATGAGAGAAGCTGTTTGCTAATAGCAGACCAATCCGTGGTGTTGTTTTTCTCACCTTGGGCTCTTGTGGCTGATTGCTTCTGACCCAGTGAGACTTCCAGTCTTGCTGTCAGATCGTCCACCTGACTCTGCAATTGACAATTGAGGTTTTGTAGGCACTTGATGCTCTCTTCTCGTTCAGTCATCTGCGACTTGAGAAAATCTACCTCTAGATTTCGAGCTTTTACCAATCCTAACACCTCAGGAATTTCACAACCCATTTCGTCTGCTAACGTTTGCATCAAACTACTATTACGACTCGCTATTGGCAAAACATTGCGCAATTGTTCCGCAGTCATAGAAATCTCTTCAAAAATCGAGTGGCTAGCAAGGTGAATGGACAACCGTGCCTTCTCCCTGGCAGTTTCCACTGTGCCTTTAACTAGTTCCAAAATGTTCCGTTTTTTAAACACAGGCAAGTTACGAATCTGATCATCCAGACCGTCCTCAAGTCGCAGGATGATATTATCAAATGCAGTGGACAGCTGAGTATCCAATTGACTCACCTCCATTGCGATTCCGGGATTGTCTCCCACGATCATCTCTTCAACGTTGTTTTCCGTGGTATCCACAGAATTATGCGATATTCCGCTTCTCACTGACATATTCTGAAATTAAGCTCAATTAGTCAATCCGACTTCGTTAGGCTTGGCTCTCATGTAACGTATTTCGATTCCGAAATAACGACGTCTAGTGGTATAGTATACGGTTTCACCGAAATCGAAGATTGAAGAGCTCTTCAGAATTTACAATATTTATCAGATTAGAACAGAAATCAATCAAATGAAATAACAATGAGACAAATGGAATGTTGAGAACTCGAATAGAGAGTAGAGTACTGTTATAATTACAAATCACTATTTATAGACAATAAGGGGGCGTGTCCGAATACTGGGGGCCGTGGCTCGAACATGGTATTCGGTACCCGCGGATATTTCTAGACAGCGTTTACGATGTCGTTGATTTGGGGCCAAACTCCTCGATACCCGGGGATATTTCACACCTGGCAACGTTTACGATCATCATCGGGGTCAGTTTCGAGCCCGAAACCCTCAATATTCGAATGTGATACATATACATACAACAACAGAACACAATCAAACTCAGTTATGATTTTTAGCAGTTTATTCTCTGACTAAAGCTTCATTCTACCTGGCACTCGAGTTTTGAAGAATCAAAGACTAGGAAGATGAAAAGAAAAGCTGTATCTTGGAATTTAGGCAATGGTCCGAATGGCATTAATCCAATAGTACGTAACAGGCTGCGCGAACCCGTGTTCATTTCACTGTCAAGCCGCGTTTTGTCTCCCCAATCAGCCGACATCATGACCAACCCTATTTCGGTTGCATTCACCTAGGCCACCCATGATGAGTCGCACCCAGTTTGGAGCAATGACCGAATTAACGGAGGAGATAGAGAGGAATTGGAAGAATCGAGGAAGGAATAGATTTATTGGATAATGGCTATTCGTATATGAAGACATTTCATCGATATATCAATTCTTCGGTTCTTTCATTCCCTTACCTCCCTTATCGCTGAGTATAAACACTGCCAAACTGTTCATTACAGGTGTCGGCTTATCGCATTAAACGCGTGAGCCGTAATAAGCTGTGATAAACAAAGAGTGCTCCTGATTTCACTACCACCAATTTTGTATCGCTTCATAATTTGCGAGCAAACCCCTAATATACCCCCGTAAATTTTACATCTAAAAAAATACAGCAATGCTTTGACTCGTTGAGTATAACTTTTCACTCAACTTGTAAATATAATCGCAAGATGTTATCTTACTTAATTATGCTAGCACACCCCAATGACAGCGCGTCGAAGATTCTATTAATTGGTGAGCCAAAGCCAAGTGTCCAGATTTTGCGTTATCGCGTTGAAAGTTTGCACGCGTAAGAGCAATCGCCCTTTGTGCCCTGAGTGCTGGGGCCGTATGCTGACAGTGAAGAGAGATGCGGGTGTCCCCGAGCTCGAAATAGTGACTGGTCAGAGGTTCGGATGTCGAAGAATGATGACGAAGTATGTTGCTAGTAGTCACAGCAGCTCCCGCAAGGGCTGTTTTCTTTACTCCGGACTGAGCCTTGGGGAGAGTCGGGTCTGGCTCGCTATGCAGGTCCGTACCCTCTTTAACGATTATTTCCGAAAGTAAGCATCCAATTGAGAGGTTTAAGGATATCGAGTTGAAGCTGTACCTCATAACCGTAGGGACCCAATCCCCTCTCCAACTTCGCATTACAGGCCGCAGAACGCCAAAGGCTGGTTTTGCTTTGCATCCGTGGGACGTCGACTAAACGAAATTAACATTTTACTATAACATGCCGTAATACCAAAGGCGAAGCTGACGTTTTGTCTGGGAATACTGACGGGGCCGTGGTGAAAGTTATTGGGTTTAGATTAACCAAGGCGAAAGCTTTACTAGATGATGGAGAAATGTATTGTGGGTTGTAAGTAGTGAACGCGCTTGTCTGGGAAAAAAGACGGGTTTTAGAAGGCTGTCATGGCAGCAGGCAATGGAGAATTGCATTAATATTCTGCGTACCTTTCTTTAAACGCAGGACGTAAATGGAGAGAGCAGATAAGAGATAAAGACGCGGGGAAACAAACTTAATTAGCCGCAAGACGTTTCTTTGTAACGATAATACATGATTAATTTATTAATAATTTATTATCGGATCACTAGTTACCAAAAAATAGAAATAACAGAGTGTATCATTGGATTGCAAGCTGTGAGGTTTTCAACACAATATTAACCTGTAAAGTCGACAAAGGCTATCCAAGGTTAGAGCAGGGCAGCGATTAAACACTGTTACGACCATTACGTGGCCAGAGGTTATAATTTACAATATCTAATAGCTCAAATCGAGCATTGAAACCAGAATACCCCGTCCCTTGGATCTTTCCAGCACCAAGTAAAAACCCCCAAGGAGAATGCACCGATCGCTGACGGTCCGAGTATCTTCATGATCACTCAGTCCCTTTTCGCCGCTGCCGCTCTCGGGTCCCCGACCTGTCAAGGAGCTATCTTAGGGATCTCCACCTCCGCGGTGATTAGCATCGCGGCGGACCATTGAGGGAGAACCTAATAGTCCGTAAACCGATTAGGTACGATTCCTTACGTCAGGGAATTCCAATGAGCAGTACGCATCCGACAGACAATTATGAGGCAACGAGTAGGTAAAAGAATGGGACGAGCTCTCGGGCGGTGATAGAGATAACAGGCCAGTATGTAATACGGATGACATCAGAATTCAGAGCTGAGTAAACATACAGGATTAATTTATAATGTGAATTACACATCAACGGCAAAGTTTGATTTCAATGACAAAGTATCGGATCCGGAGAAAAATATGAACAATCGATTAAGCCGGCAGACCCCAATTGTAAAGCGAGGTCCTACAAGGACTTGTTTGGGTTTAAATGGCGTTAGAGAGCACAGTCAAACAGAAATCGGATTGAAAATCGAGGGTGCAAATCTATCTATATTATTATGCTGTCTTACCATGAAGGGAGTATGGTATGCAGGTAATATTTATGATCGATACGTGAACACTTACATTTAAATATTGCATAGTTGAGGGAGCAGGAGGAGAGGTTAACCTATGTTCACCGTTAGCGAAGCGGGGGGTTCGATATTTGTCAAGTTTGTACGTTTCGGTCGGAGTGGGGAGGGGCGGGGGGTCTATCCTCTTTCCTTCGTAATTCGCATGTGAACTGGTGAAAGTGTTGTGTGAGGTTGAAAGAACATGGATAATTGGCTGGGTGGCAGAGCTTCTCCTCGACGGGCCAATTTTGGGAGGAAAAGGGTGGTAGGTGCGTCGATCGGCGCAGGATTTAAATACAAATATCATGATGGCAGAGGGTGGATGAACGGGGGAGGATGGTCGCGAGATGTTCTGATTAGAAAGGTGAGGGCGTCTACAAAATTTTCAAATGTACCAACGATAGGTGAGCTGGGATGGAGTGAATAATTTCGATCTCCCGAAGTCCCGCCTTTTATTACATTATAGAACTGGCTCGCGAGAGGCGGATGCGGGCATCGTGGTGATACAAAGTATTTTCGTAGAGCAATAGTATAAATAAAAAGGGATCCTCTACTTGCGAGTACGGATCGATAATAACCTGCCTTATGTGAGAGTGTCTTTATTTGGCAGACGGATATTCGGGAAATTGCTGACACGACTTATCTGTGTGGAAAGCAATCACAATGATCCATCTTAGCATGAAGACGAAACAGTATAATTTATCCAGTGAGAGAGGCATGAAAGAGAACGGGCATGGGCTCACGCCTTTTGAATACAAAATAGAATATAAAAGGTGTACTTAGCGTCAAAAATTAAACCAGATGAGAAAACGCGAGCGATTGGCATGCTTGGTCTTGATAGTTAGGTATAGCTGTACACACGGAAAGAACATGTCCAATTAGGTTGTTAATTGCCCTTAGCAATGTTAAGGCGATTTATCGTATTTCCACCGGTTACACACTAGAAAATTCTACCGCGAGTAAGATTGAGCGATTTGGAACCGGATCAGTTTTGTATGGAGGATAAGAAGAACTTCACTCAGGGCCGTAAGGCTATGCTTCCCCGAATGGTAGGGAACGAAATCCCTTATTTGCTATCTGTCGTCCCAATGGATGTCCTGTAAGGCCACATTTAACTGTTGTGTTGCTCAAGTAACATGCATGAGAATAAAAAACAGCTGTAGTTCAGAAAAAATTTAAAGGACATCTCGTCCCGAGCTTCGGGGAAGCATACCTTACGGCCCAAGGGTGTTTCAATACGCGTGTAACTCATTTAGACCAAGGTGTAGGTAGCCCGAAATGTTGGTTGCAAATAAGAAAAGCAAAACTGCTACGCGAACTCACCTAGGAAATTGTGAGCGATCAAGGTTAGCTGTTGAATACAACAGTCGGGACAAAGTACGATCAAGGAATCTGCGAGGATTCAAACCACGGACCACTTCATCACCCCTTTTTTGGTATTCAGAGGGCCGCTCAGGAAAAATGAACTACAGTTCTGTGTTCCATGCACGTACCCCTATATCATGCAAAAACCGTTTCGAGAAAGCTGGGCATTTCCTAAAAGACCTTCCTTAAGACCTATGATATTTTTATGTTGATTGATGGCTGACGTATTTTTGCAGCAATTCGTAATGCAAAAATTACCAGGTTGTTGGGTTACTTTACCATGAACAGGAACCGGACCATGACCTCCTGCTTTCCACCTAGAAGGGCTGACTAATACGCAACGAAGAGGAGACTAGGGGCACGCATACTTGAAAGTGCTTACTTAGAAGTGCTTTTTGATAGAATAAATTCCAATAATAGCGCCCTGAATGACGTGATGGAACACTCTTGCACGAGCTAACGTCACCCAATTCCTGCAGCTTCGCAGCGCTAACGATGGGAGATAAGGAGCATATGGGCCATGGTGGTCTCTGACGACAGAAACACTCAGACCACGCGCTCTCCATCAGTCGTACAGCGGCAGGGCAGAAAGGACGACGAACAATGACAACGATGGCCTCACAACGAGATATGGCCGACTATCTAGGTGAACGCGACGTTACTGAACAAAAACATAATCGCCGAAGAGAAAAT